TCAAAAATAGTTAATTTTTCAAATTATTTTAAAAATTATGTATTTTGTGTATTGCTAAATTAATTTCCACGTTATAAATTAGTTTCTAGGAAAAATAAAAAGGTGATATTTAAAAACTGGTGGGTCTACCAGAAAGCACACAGGGAATGCTGACGTACGTATTCATCAGCCGGACCCCTCGCAGGTGTGTCAAATCCACAGCCTGCTCTGGAAACTTATGCAAGCGCGCTGAAGTAACTTTTGCCTCTAAAACTACGGTAGATTGGTCATCTCATGAAATGTAAAGACCAAAATTTGAATGCGTGGTTAAAAACATATTTGAGGTTGTTTATTTTAATTATGGTATAAACTTGAGGGACAAATGCTGTTTACTAGAAAATATTTCAATTCAGATCAATATATTGAGGAAAAAAGGTGGTAGACGCTGGCCAAATCTTACGCTTTAGGATATTCAATACACTTCCTATGACATTGAACGTTGCGGACCAAACATTGTTGTTTGTGCGTTTGTACTATAAAAGAACATCAATAAAGACCAAAAACGGTTTAATTATATCTGCTCAGAGAGCAGAAGAGTTTCTTTTGTGGTTAAGAAGTTCAGGTAAATGCAGGTATGAGATAACGCATTATTTTGGGAAAAGAAGAGCAGCTTCAGTTTAAAATATTCGGTTTAGTAAATCTGGCACGGTTCTTTTACCATAGAGTAAAAAAGTACACTTATGAGACCGTCGAAAATGATGACTGTCATCAAGCCTCTATATTAACACCCGAGGTTTCTCTGTTACGGTCTAAGAGAAAGATTTGCAAACGATTTGTGTATGCAGAGCAGAATCCATGAATAGAAAAACTTGAAACAGAATGGAAAGATGATAATTAGTGTTCTCAAAATGGTAGTTCAAATTCTTCCCCTGTGCTGTGCTTTTACAATCATAGAAATTAGCCCAAAAATACAAAAATCTACCGAAAGAAATATATTTTTGAGAAATATGTTATTTTGAAATTTTTGGTGAACACGTGAACAAGATCGATATGTATGGAAAATTGAGTAAAAGCACTGAGAATGGTTAATCGTTCAGCGGGATTTCAAGAACGATCAGAACCTCGTCTTACTCAAACTCTCGAAATAATTAACAAAAATATGGCGGAAGGAAATCCCTTTGAGTACAGACATTATGGTATGCTTACGAGTGCACCTGAAATACGTTACTCCTGTGGCCTTTCAACCGGCACAATCCAATGAAAACGTATCGTCAGGAGGATAGAAATAAAGAAGAAACTAAAAATGTTTGTGTGCCATATATTCCCTGCTTCCCATTACTGTTCTGATTCCGCAATGTACGATAATTTAAATTGCGCGCAATGGGGAAGCATACTTATCCGAAAATCTCTCTCAACTTGTGTCGCTTTATTCATTTTGTTTTTTGTGTAAAAATAATACCTCTGCATTTAAAACTTAAGTTTTCTTAGTGGCCCCTTTCTCACCTTTTCGGAATTTTGTGTTTTTCTGAAAAAAATGCTTCTACTGTACCACATACTATCCTTTGATAAACCACAATATGCCTTCTTTTTATAAGGATATTTAATTTTCTACTGTAGGACTTTGGAAAACGCAGCTTGCGCTAATTTTTCCTACCAGGTATGGTCCTGTAAACATCCTTGGCTTTAATTATCAGTTAACCCAGCCAGTGCAGTTCATTCCCAGAGTTTTTTATGAATGAACGCGGGGAGCGCACTGACGTCTCTATGCGACTTTTCCCAAAGGGCGTTAATCGTAGGACCTTTTTAAGAGCTTACTGCACCTAGCGGTCAGACACACTCACTCGACGCCAGCAGGAGAATAGACACTACACTCTAACGATGAAAGAGATAATGTTTTTGAAACGTCAGCTTAAACACAACTTGGTCTCAGAAATTGTCCCTTGTTCTTCTTTCTCTCTCGGGGATGATGAAAGCAATAACTCCATATATGTATACATGTTCCATAGATCTATGGATAGGCAGTACAAGCCGTTTCTATAGGGGAATCGCCACATCCACCGGTTAGACTGTCACAATCCGTGATTTTCATAATGTGCTCCCTGGAGGGGGCGCAATGTCGCTAACTTGGGCGTAGATTGTTTTAAAACTGAAGCCAACTTGCGCCGCAACTATCACACTTCCTCCTCCCCCGTCGACCAGGCCGCGAAGGTAGGACAATGTCAAAACGGCCAGAGATGGTCGTGGACCCATGGCCTGACGACTGGTTTACACATAATATACAGAGGATCTAGTCCCTACTCCATAACAACAGTTCGCAGCTCACATGCCTGAGAGTGCCAGTAAGACTAGCTTGCGAACAAGCCAGCGCAGCCATGACATATAGTATGCATTGACAGATTTTAGCACACCTGCTTTATTCTAGTGAGGAGTACGCTGATTTGCCGTCAGTATGAATTCCGCAGCGTTGACCTCTTCCTATTTTCGTCCCTCCTCTATGCACCCATCAACGGTCGAAGATCGTCAGTCGCCTAGTGCCAGCACTGACTGCAGTGACGGGCTGAGCTGACTTATACACAAC